AACGAGTGTTAGAGAAATCAATTCTAACAGTATGTTCAACTGCTAACAAGTGTAATATACTCCTGAATCGTTTATTATTTACAAAATTTGTTAAACTGGTCTGAGTTCATAAATGTCACCATCAAAACATCAACTTTGAATTATTTTTCGCTTCTGCAAAGTAGAAGGGAGGAATTATTAATATCATTTCAGCATTTTTGCGGAATATTTATACTCTCAGATATAAACGGAAAAATGCGAAGCATTCAACTAATTTATTCCTTTTTTCTCGTCACCATACTCCCACCAATAGGGTAGCTCCACTTTCTGCATATAAACCCACACACAACCCACAGCTCGTCCAATCGCTCTGACGAAGGGCTAACGCTCGAAACGTCAGCTTTTTTACTCTTTACGGTAGGCAATTTACGTTTTCAACTTAGTTGTTAACACTAAATTACCTGCTATACTTTAACTGCGGTTCGAATCATACCTTTGGGAATTGCATCTTCTTCAAGTGCATGCTGATATTCTGTACCGTTGTCTAACACTGCAATCTGAAAAAAATAAATGTTGTCTTCTCTAACTTCAGATTTGGACGAAGAGATTACAAAAACATCTTGGATAAAGCAGTTCAAAATTATTACACGCTCATCGTGTGGGTCTCAGGACACCTAAGGGGTATTTGTTCTCCTTTTTTCCTCGGGAACTGACATAAAATGAGGACAGTTGCTAAACCTTCCTTTCTAAAAAAGACGTGAACCCGACCTAACAGCTTGTTATAAAAGACATCTGTGAGTATTTTTCGAATCCTTTCGCTTATGAAACAAACGAACAACACGTGCATGTAACATGCATGCAACATACAACAAACCTTAAGATCCTTCAAGCTTAGTTCTTGTTCCAAGGAGAGGGCCGTCAATGTAGAGGTTATATGAGCCATAATCATTGACATACTAATGAGACCTAATATAATCCATATTACGGAAAATATACGTGCCACAACTGACTTTGGAACTTTGTCGCCATACCTAGGTAATAAAAACAGGTAACATCTCTTACGGGTTCATCTGATTGACATCTTTCAATTGTGAAAATAATTCTTTTTTCAATGTCTTCTATGTGGATGGCTAACGCCTTCATTATGTCGTAGAAGGCTCTTTGAGGTTTTGTATTACTATTGTTTAATGGCTTGAAGGTAGTTTCTAAGCTACCGAGATCTCTATATGTCTATTTGCCACGTGTCATGAAACTCATCCAAAAGAAAAAACACTCGTATTGTGAACATCATCAACATTTTTAAAAAAGCACATAGCTCTCATGACCTTTGTTTGTTTGTGTTCTTATAAAAAATCATAAAGACATTATCTTTTCAATCTCAGTTTTGAACACCAGTGTAACAGTTTTTATCAAACATCGACCCACCCAACAGTTGTCATGGAAATAAAAGACCACCAGAATCCGTCCCAGGAGCCTTTGAGAAATGGACGATTAAATTCTTCAGGGTTCCAGTATGTGTCCTAGGATTCCAATAGAAACAAAAATAAGCGCACCAGTAAGAAGAAGATAAACAAAAGGATGAAAAACTAAGAAAAAGAGTAAAGCTGTGATAAGAAAAACACAAAGTTTCGACTAATAATATATAAACGTGAAGGGAACTCCTAAGATTGAAAATATTGGAGAAAGCGAAACTTACCAATGCCCAAATAAAAATGCCAGCAATTGCTGCGAGAACAAGATTGAAGGCAACCAGAGGCCAGGCGTCCAAAACAGCATTAAGCACAACATCTCCGTTTTCGATTGAAATATATACTGTGCCCGGATAATCACTTGTTTTGATAAAATGAAACTCGCTATAGTGTCTATCGCTCGTGGGTTCGAATATTGGAGCAGCAACGTCGATCTTTTTTTTCCGCAGAAGGTTTATCATTTCAAACTCGCTGCTAGCTTGATGACTATCTACGAATGTTGCACCACAGCTATGTAAAAATCTCAGTGCCATTTCTTCCCCCATCCCAGAGGGTTGTGTAGTATTGGGAACTGCATACAGATATGGTGGCTTATGAATCCATCCCACCACTATAATTCGTCGGTGGTTCGTCGGTGGCACTGTTCTGGTTGTGTAGTTTTGGTTGATAGACGAGTTTCCAATGGAAGCAATGCAAAACTGCAAATTCGCTGCGCAAACAATTACAATGAAAACTGACAACATTTCCAATATTTTCCTCATTGTTCTGTCGAGAGAGGACAGATTAGTTAAGAAATTGACAAAAAATAGTGTCGGGTTAGTTTTAAAAAAACTTCGGAAATACCTTGCGTAACTCAAAAAGAGAAGCTACAGGTATTCTATGGTCATTACAAGCGAAGTGAAATGGTCTGTGTGGCGAAACTGCGACTGAAGCGCATTAATTCATAGAAATGAGGTGAATAATTGATATCTCAAAGACGGTTAAGATGAGACCTGTAACGGTGGAAAAGTCTTCTTTTTAGTTCTCTTGTAAATGGAGATAAGCCCAAAGTCGATGATGTGCAGAAGGAAAATAGGTTTCCAGGTTAAACCAATTGATCTATCACGGCGACAATGTCTTCATCAAAACTTAAGGTGTCCTCGGTTTACAATATCAGCTCGCCTGAATGAGACAAGAAAAGCTGACTGTGTTGGTAAAAATAAAATTTAAAAAAATTGAAGATGAAAAATGATGAAACAATGACTACTATACCCGACCTTCCTTCCCCATTTAGAAATTGTCTTATCTGCAATATTCAACTGCTTATCCCAGCTTTTACAGTAAATTTTCTTTTAACTCGCTGTTACTCTCATTCACGGATTCACATAAAGGTTTGCTCTTTGAACCTTTTTTTTTTTAATTTTTGCTGTTATTTTAATCAATAATTCATGCTAATATTCTTTTCATACTGATTTTCAAATGACAAACGTGCTCTCTATGTATGCAAGAAGTTTATGTCATGTATTGAACAACCTGATAACACTTGACCAAAGGAGAGCCGATTCATTAAACATTCATATCCAAGATGAAAAGGATGAATAGGAAGAAGACGCATAATTGAGCAGAACAAATTAAATTTATCTTTCTTTATTCTGGAAAGGACTATGATATAGTGTAAATAGAAATATCACGAAGAAATAATTTGACGTAATACTGCCATAATAATAGGACGGAAATCAAAAGAGTCAACAAAGACCGGTATTCCAAAAAAAGCTGTAGGATCCATCTGCCTTTTATGTTTCCAATATCGGCCAGGGATTTTGAATCCTTAAAAGATTAAATTATATGAAGCCATGAATATTCTTTGGCAAAAATCTGTGATACCTGAGTGCGCATTGTTTAGTTTTAAAAATGGAGAGAACATGTCTATAAAGAACTTTATTATTAAGTCTCGGGCCTATTTGACTGCTGTAAGGAACTTAAAGGAAGGGGTGGTAAAGTAGAATTCATTGAAAACTGGGGTTAACATTGAAAACAGACACAAATTCACCAAAAAATTGTAGTAGCATCTACTCATCAAAGAATTTGCAGGCTAGAACGTTATGAAAAAAATCGTCTTGGGCCAGCCCAGAAGAGCCTTCTTAAGACATATGCACCTGGATAACTTATATGGTTTGGTTTCTATGATCTTCCCCGCTATTGTTCACTTTGTAAAATTTTCGACGTATTCATGCAAGGAGATGAGCTGGTGCAGCTACGGAGATCTTTGCTTCCATGACAAAGATCACGGAAACCCAAGTGAAGCTTAAAAGATCGTGTATTGTTCGTTGCACATTGGTTACCAAGTTGAAATGTCCCATATTAGAAGCATAAGAAACTCGTCCCGCTACCAGGACCATCTCGGTTACCCATCTTATTTTAAAAAAGGCCCATCCTGGGAACTTGTGCCAATACATCGACAGACTTATGTTAGTGTGTTAGTGTATGTATATACATTATAAATATGATTTGTAGTGACGTCAGTCATATTCTGAGAACTTCAGCTTCGAGTTTCTCGAAGTGCTTTTGGATTTGGTATAGCATTCTTTTTGCTGTTTCCAAGTCTTCTTGGATGGCTTCGCTTCTTCTTAGCTTCCATTCCTTCACTGGCTCTACTGAGAGACATAAAAAGAAATAGGGCCCACAATCATGTCCGTCATCGAGGAAACAAAGTTCATAATGGAGTATTTTATCGCAACGATAATCTAAACGAATTAAAGCTTGCTTTGCTTTCTTTTGTTTGCTGTGGTGTGCACTGGAAGCGACAGCAGTCGACAGGAAACGGCTTTCAAGAATTTTTGCAGAAGTATTCAAAAGAAAAATGACGACTTTACCCAAGTGACAAGTATTGATAGAAAAAAAGAGTGCTTTAACTGCTGTAGAGCGATATCTGGTTGAGTCGATTCGATTGGCTCATTTAGCTGGTTTCTGTAGCATGTTGCCACAGGAAGGTTTTCCTTAATCATTTCGTCAAGATTCCCTGAAATCTCACCGATTCCCATTCATACTCCTTAGTGGAGAGAGTAAAGAGTCCTTCCCACGAAAACCACACAGTGACTCGGTTACGTCATTCAGGTGGACCTCTCGACCTCGAATTCAGCGCACTAGCCATTGAGCGGGTGCGTTTCTTATGGACAGCGGCACACTTACCTGAAATAATGTTATTATTGATTTCAGTCTTGCAGTTATTTCTGAGAATTTGCCAGAGTGTCCCAGTCATAAGCAAACCAGTAAGTATGCCGAGGGTTGTGTACATGAAAACACTAAGAAATGAGGAAGACGTGTCGAACAAATTGACTTTCCTTGTTCGCTTTTGTTCCATCAGCTGAAAAAGATAAAAGTTGGTTTTTAGATGATCTTGTGAATATAATTCAATGCACGTTTGTGTCTTTTTACCTATGTCCTTGAGATGTGGTACAGTTACGCTGAGCTTAGTTACGCTCTCGTTGCAGAACTCGGGTTGGATTTCAGTTTGTTATAAAGGAAATACAAATTGAATGAAAGGGCGAGATTAAGTTAGACTAACTAAATGCCATTGGGTTAACTGGAATTTCGTTTATCCGTCAAAACTAAACGAGTACAAGGCAGAAGAAAAAATTAAAAAACTAAATAGAAGGGCAATGAAATGTTAGTAGAGTTGATGTGGAGGAGATGGATGCGCTCTGTTTGGTTTAGGTTTGGTTTGGTAAATTTCTTTGTTATCATGCTAACCAGATACCGGTCTCTATCACAACAAGGTCACCTTCAGCCTCACTCCAAATCAAAGGCTTGGCAACTAAGTACACCACTATAAAATGAACTATTCCAGTGACATGTAATTATGAACTAAAAATTTTATAAGTTTATTTGTCTCTTAGGGGTATACGATCAGGGGTTTCAATTACTTTTCCATTATCTTAAAAAATGAATTCTGGATAATAATGTATGTTAGGTATAGACTACCCTTGTTAGGTATAGACTACCCTTGCCACTTTTTATGGCGACTCCACCTTGTAAGAAGAAGTGACAGTTTGAGTCAGCATCATGATATTTGGACGATAAAATTCCAAGCAACGCGCTAGTTCCCTGTTGTCCTCCGAAAAAAGCACTCCGATCTCCCTGGAGAGATCCAAGCTCTTGATAGAGATAAGAGACTCCAGTTCACCTCTGGAGTGGTGATAGGAAGCAGTGTAGCGATCCAAGAAAATTCCTTCTACTTCCTTTGTTTTGACAGCCTTGATGATTTCGTCTATTTTTTCGTAAACTAAACGCAACAAATGAATAGAATTTTGAGACAAAAAGGTTATTTAAGTATTGAGGACAATTACTAAGCCATCACGGAAAGGCCTTGGGGGCATTGATTTCCTAAGAATTATAGTAGATGAATAGTTTTGTACGATTCAGCTGTCTTTTTCTTTTTTTCTTTTCAGGAATACAAATGCTTGCCTTCTTATTGACGGTTAAGTCTAGAGAATAATCAATGTTTCGTATTATAATTCTACCATTAGAATTTCAAATCACACCTGTCATAAGCGTCAACGAGCATAGTCTCTTACACATATGTTATATTTCAATTTCCCCTTTTTTATTATAGAGTATCGACTTTGACATTAAATGACGTAAGTCACTCTTCATTGGGTCGAGTCGGCTATTTATTGAGGTCACCTTTCGGGTGAGCATTTTGCTCAAGTGCATGTTGGTATTCAGTTCCATTGCCCAGCACCGCAACCTAACAAGCAATGAAAAAAAAATCAGCAAAAAACAAATAAATAAATAAGCCAAACAAACACAAGAAAAGAAAAAAGCAGACTAACGGGAAAAAAAATGAACTTTTTATGTTGATCTTCGTTTCAATGCAAAGATTGCACTCAAGAAAACGGACTATGTTTTTGCGGGTTATCGTTTTCCCCCTAGTGTTCAAGTGCTCCTGAATCGACAGAAGTCGTGACTCCCATTTACGATTCATACACTTAGTAGTACACTTATCCTTCTCCACTCATGATATATTCTTGAGTCATGAATGCATCAGTTTGCGGGTTATCATTTCTGCTTCACGATTCCGAATCGAATCGACGGTCGATTCGGACGGATCAACGAACGTTACTTTCGAGTATTATCAGCTAGTGAGTGTTGGATATATGTTTCCCTAAAAGTGTTCTAGTGGGTAAAATACCATCCGAAAAAAACATTGCTTTAAACCTTGAAAAGAAATCACAGAAATTAGAATTAATTAGTAATTTCATCTCAATCATGCGAACTGAAACAAATTTTCATAGCAAATACACCAACGAAAAAAGAAAATCGCTAGACTGCAAATTATAGCAACCTTTTTTACTGAGAGATGTTTGGTCATTTGGAACAGTAAGCTCCTTACTCAGAACATGAATGTAAAAAGGTGATTTCTACGGATTCTAACCTTAACACCTGCGAGACTGGTTGGTTCCAGATCCAGTGAAAGAGCCGTGAGAGAGGACGTGATGTGAGCCGAAAAAATTGTCATAAAGATCATTCCAATAAGGATCCATAAAGTGGAGAAAAGTCGTGCTGGAATGGACTTTGGAACTTTGTCACCGTATCTGTTTTAAAACATACTTTGATTGATAAAGAGAAAACGCTAAACGTAGACTGATGTTGAACATCATTAAACACAATGCCTATAGTTTCAGACTTCAAAGCATTAAACACAGTGTGGTGCAAACTAATATGTCCTTCCTAACCTTAAGTCACTTTTTTTTATCAATTCTCGAGCTGGATTAAGATTTGAATGATAAAAATTGCATAGCATTTAAAGAAAATGAGCTAACACTGTTTAACATATGAAAGAAGAAACATCTTCAGCACCTTAATTTTTAGTATGTTGGAGCATACGTATATTACTACATTTTTAATCACGTGTACTCTCACTAAGCAAATAAAAAAACTTAACTGTAAATTGCATCACAAAAGAAAACGACTTCCGAGGCTATACTTCAGGGGAATTTAAGTAGCAAAATTCGCTCAAAGCCAAGATAATTAAATTGAAAATCTATAAAAAATGGAAAAAGCTTGAGAAGGAAATAAACGCGTTTTGTCATCTCACCCTACAGTGGTGACAGAGACGAACGACCACCAGAATCCTTGCCAAGACCCTTGAATGAACTTTCGTGGAAACTCATCTTTGTTCCAGTATGTGTCCTTAATTCCGGAAAAAAAAAGCACATAAAGGAAATGGGTGAATCATCCCAAAGATGCTTGGGAGATATAGAAGAGTTAGTGTTAACACCG